GAAGACCAAAGTTGGCAGTAAATCCTCGCGAAGTGCAGCATCCTCGCAGATCATTGCGGCTGTGAGGAAACGCCATCTACACAACGATGACTACACGTCATCCAAAGCCATTCCCACCAGCGAGCGAGCAAGGGAGCTTCACGTATCGGAAGGGGTTCTAGAGAATCTCACCATGACCCATAACACGACGGTCGAGTTCTTGCACTACTTCTGGGCCGTGTTCTACTCAGGAGACCCCGACCGCGCGGGCGAGATTGCGCGTCTCATCGAGACGCTTGACAAATCGCTCGACCGTATCAAGGCGGTAGCCGATATGGCAGAAGCAGAGCGCGAAGCAAGAATCGAGCATGCACGGAAAGAGAATGAGTTCGCCAACCAGCGAGAGAGGAAGAAGAGGAAGTTCGACCCCGGAGCTATCAGAGGAGGCGCGAAGGCCGTCAACCAAGTCGTGGACCCTTTGATTCGAGCAATCGACGCTGCGCGGAGTCAATACAAAAAAGCTCTCCAGGAACAAGTTGCACGCAGCACAGCGGCCGCGACTGCTTGATCGCATGTTCGTGCTGTACTTTTAAAAAGCTGAAGATCCTTCTGATTTGCATAGCGAAGGCGTTTGGGAAACAGGGCTTGTGCCGATCGGACGACCGCTAGGTATTTTCGTGAAACAATTGCAGGCCATGCTTTGAAATACACAGATTCTTTCCGGAGATACATGATAATTGTAGTCAGTGAGGCAATTGATGTTGGGAATGCCCATGTCTATCCAACAGCCATCTACGTCGGTTATTGCGCAAATCCGCAATGATCTACACGCGCTCCACGAAAATGGTCCGCCATGACCGAAAGTGATGCTGAAAGCTACAAACCACATGTGTGATCAATACCTCATCGGGTCGGAAGGTGCATAGACGCCGACAATTTTCGGATCATGTATCTTAACACGAAGTAATATCAGCAGAATCTCTACACCGCTAACTGAAGGCTCGCAATGCTTGATAAGTGCACAGTACCGCCGGTCCATCGCACCTGCCAAAGTGAATGTCTTCTTACCAGCCCGGGCTGCTTCGGCAGGCACTGGACCCCTGACCTCGGAGAGGCCCCACTTATTGAGTAACTCGACGAGGCACATTTCTTTCACAACCTCATCCTCACTTCGTTTCTTTGCGGTATGATACGGCGCAGCTTGGATGCAGCAACTGAGGGCATGAATATTGGGGTAACATGAAGACATGTCGCGCATGCAGAAGAGCACGCAAAGCAAGAGAGGACGTCATCAATTCCTGAAACGCAGGAACAACTGCGGCCAACAACAACCGAAATTGGAATGAGCGTTTATTGCGACCAGCAATACCGAAACATCGAAACTCGAAAGGAAAAGTCTTAACCAAGTATTAAAACCAGAAAACGAAGGGCACGGTTGGATGAAACACACTCGAAGAGCAAACAGATCCTCTGAGTAGACCGAAACCGCAACACCTACATCATCCAACATGGACCGAACCTACGCGACACCTACAACATCTACAAAAACAGATGCCGTCGCAAGTATACGTGTTCCTGGTGTTGAAAGCTAGGGCTGTCGTCCGTTGTAATGGTCGCGTGCGGGATCATAGTATGGTTTGTTTCCTACTATCCGTTAGTTAACCTGCACCAGATACCGAACAGAACATCTATTCATCGACTCAAAAATATACGTACCGTTGTTATTAGGAACTCGCTCCCTCGGTCGGTTGTCTCTGCAAAGATCAGTGTCGAGCCCAGCTGCACGACAACCTTAGTCGACCTACCTGTAACGGAAGCTATGCCAGAGGTACCATCTCGCGACCCAGTTCTCTTCGTTGACATGAAGCATGTAACGACCGATGTCATAATACGGTCTTGTTTCCGCGCAAGCATCGCGTACGATCATCAAAATATGCAGATGTTTCGACGTTTCCGACAACTCGTCCCATCTATATGGTTCTGCTACAGAGGGGTCTGCCCTCGATTGCTCGGTCAAATTGTAGCGGTTTGAGCTCAATGCGTTTCTGGCAGCGACAGCTTCGGCCTACGGAGGGCGTGTGGGTTAGCGGACGGCCTTCTATTGTCAGGCGAATACTTACGAGAAGCAGTCTGTGTGTACTCTCACTGAGTTTAAGTCGATTGCAAAGCTCGCTCTTGCTGGCGCTCTGGGAAAGAGGCGGCTGGGTCATGGTATGGCGACGTTCCCTAATAGGATCGTTCATCACGCCAATGGTACGAAAAGAGCAGCTCAGGTGAAATTAGATATGGGAAACAGAAAGTCAGGTCTCTTTGTCTTATATCTGGGGTCGACAGCCGTGCAGGAAGATCTTATGGAGTCGCTGTCATGTGACAATCAAGGTCCGTCCCGTCCTCTTTCCTTCCGCTGTGACACGGCGCATACGCCACATTATGAGATAATGGAGATCCGATTCGAGAAATACCCATTTCCCACCCTTACTCGCCTGGCCCCGGCGCCATGCTCTCGAGGTGGCTTCACATGCAGCTAGCGAATCTTAGGTGTTATGCCTGGCCAGCGCCGATCTATTGACGTGGACAGGGTGGATCACATGGGTCTCGCGTATCCTCCCGTGCAGCAACGGCAGGTAGATGCGTCGAAAACCGCTGTTCTGATTTGCTGCGAGGACATAGCTTCAGATCCATGGGCGTGCAGCGATTCATAATGACCTGTAGATCTCTCCACATCATTATACCCTCCTGTTGGCGCTAGCTAAATCAGCGATAGTGTAGCTTAGCCTGACGACAAAACAACATCCGCACTGCGATCATCGGGCCGGTGAGTCGAGGACCTGATGCAATCCCGAGAATCAGGTCGACGGACTTGAGCGCTGGTCAGACAGGAATACGACAAGCATCCACGGTCGGCAGGGAGATGGCTGCTTCGAAGACTTTCTGACCAGCCAATGCCACCCAAGCGCGGAGCACGACTACATGGCTCACGAGCGTGGCGCATTGGGCGGAGTGAATGGAGCTCGGCTCGTCACGCCCAGCTCCTGCGGACCAAAGGCGCTCGAAGAAGAGCATCACACTTGGAGAGCGTGGGTGCAAGAAAACACGGCCCGAACTGAGTCATGTCTCTACGTGAGATCAATAATCCACTCCATTCTACAGGTCGACAAATCACACCCTAGGCTAGACATTCAAGTTACTTGAATTCTCAAGATGCCCGAAGGCCATCCAGCTGTCAACAACGGCCCAGCGTGATACTTATTGTGTCCGCCCTCAGCTACTGGAGGTAAGGATCGCCGTCAAGTGCAGGGCAACGGACAGAAATTCAATGTGATCAGTAAGCCTGGCTTAAGGGCGTTTTCCAGGGCTCGATAACACTCACCACTGAAGCATGGAAGTTGACTCAGCACAATTGACCGGACAGGTGTGAGCAGTCTCACAACCGTGTGTCTAGACTGAGAAAAATGCGCATTTCGCTGCTGGGCGGATCTTGTTCATCGAACATGTACCAAATCGTACAGCTTCTGGAAGCAATGGAAGGCTTTGCCGCGTCGTGCAGCCTCCTCTAGCCCGGCTAAGCCCGAGCCAAACGAGTCTACAGCGAGCGCACGGCTGGCGACCACCGCGAATTGAACTTGCCGAAGGTCAGTACCGGTCAGCTACCTGGAAAAGTTACCCCTTGCTTACCGTCATCATGCTGGCTCATAGGTTGACGACAACGAGACACATCCCGTGTCTATTTTCAGTATTCTCAGCGCACTCGCACCGACCGAATGGATCGCATAGGTGACATATCGCTTGTTACCTTCCGTTACATCGGTGATGGATAAACGGCGGCTTTTTTGTATCCAATCTGCTGCTGCAGTAACTCTGAGAGCTCGTGGATGGTGTGAGCTGGAAGTCGCTTCTGCAGTTCAATCTTGCCAGGCTATCCTGGGACTTTGTCGACGATGGATGAAGGTACATGGAGAAGAAGACGTACGACAAGCCACATGTGCTCGGAACAGAGCTCTATAATTGTCACGACCGTGATAGGTTACAAGGTCCATGGTGAACCTGGCCAACTCATCGCTACCCCAGCCTTAAGTACGTCGCTTGTGTGGAGACTGCGTCAAACTAGCCAGCCTGCTTTCCGTATCGGCGAACCTGGATTAGTGCACCGTTTCGTCTCCCAACGCATTGTATACAATGTAAGCGGCACGACCCACTTGATCCCGTCGCCGGCCTGATTGTACGGACCCGGCTTGTTTTGCCGATCATTAGACTCTGATTGTGCAGCCTGTGAACAGAGGCTATGGAAGCTATGCAAAACCAGCATTCTTGATGGAGCCATTTGCGGCATGCGTAGGTGATCTTCGAATCCTTCGCTAGTCACCTGCTTGTGCAATCAATTCTGGATGAGCACTTTGTCCATGAATAAGGGTCATGATCTCACAGCGGCGCTAGCCAAAGATAGGCAGGCTGGGGCATAGGGTCTGCATGCAGGAGCAACCGCCACGAGCAAGTTGGAGCGATGTACTTGCGTACGGGAGGGTCCGACGTTGAGGTCGAAGAAGCACAGCAACAGTTTTGCTTTTGCGCATCATCGCCAATTCCAGGAAGGGTCGTGGGGCTTAGGGGCTGCGAGTACAGAGCATTTTGATTGGATGGCCCTCCGCACACAGCCGCGTCGAACATGTTCCCTTCGCTAGGACAGAAAACACTGGAGCTGTCTCCTAGGCGGACTGCAATGGTCATACGATTCGGGAGACTTTAGTCGGCGAATACCATGGCCGTGGTCATGCCCTCCGAGTGGTGAATGAGCCGCCACGAGATACGACAGGGCGGTTGCACAGGAGCAGGTCATGGCTGCTCCTGCCTAAACAATACAATCTCGGAAAGGGCGCTGCGGAAGGCCTGCTACTTCCCAGGATGCCCTGCGGCGCACAAACAAAGTTGCTCTGCTATCAGCAGGGTCCCACACTCATGCACATTATGATCTAGCATCGATCGGATCTCATCTTTGACAATATCGATGACAGGACATGAGCATCATGCCTACAGCACAGCCCCGCGACGCCAGTCTACGAGACCGCAGCAACGGCCAGGAACCAATATGTGGTCCAGCTCCATCAGATCCGTTGAACGAGACCCACGCCACTCCGTCCTTCCGATCGACCCATGCCATGCAGCCGGATCCGTTCGCCTATTACAGAGCTTTCCTAGATACGAGCTCGTCGCAAATGCAACCGCAAACGCAAGGCCAAGGGCGCGATCGGCATTACATCGCACAAGATCACGATGATTATGCCTGCCACGATATTACCGGGACCGGAGATATGCAGCACGCCATGGAATATCAGCAGCAGGCCAGAGCTCGAGGCGTTCCCTACAATCTTGCCGTTCGGCTCGCAAATCGCTCCAATGGCGCGCCTCTAGCCACTATTGTGGAGCAAGGTTCTTACTCGACGCTAAACTCACATGGCTCCCTCCTCAGCGTGGGCCGCTTCCCTTCACTCCGTGTGGTGGAAAATGCCTCGCCGACGCGCTCGTCACACAGAATCTCATACACACCAGAAGAACATGTTCTCCAGCGCATCACAGAAGATGTGCAGCGAGGGCATCTGTTGAAAGCACCAAGCAATACACACGATGTGCCCTTGTGCAAGGATTACAGCAACTCGTTCCGGGCTGATGATGCCGCAATCCCATCCGCGTTTCCCAGTCTTAAGCCATCGCAATCTATTACCCATCGGAATGGCAAGGCCGACTCCGACGCTAGTACCAGCAATGTCAAAAGCTTCTTTCGTGGCGTTATACACAATGTTCGAGCTGCCTCGAGAACCCGGTCTAGGTCGTCCTCGACGCAGATGTCGCTCGTTGAGAACCATAGCGATCGGCCGGGTGCGAGCGAGGATAGCCTACAAAGTCAATTGCAGGCATCTGACATGTCTCAACTGGGCGATGACACATTTGACACGCCATATCGTTTCCCTACTGCATCCCAGGCCCTAAGCGCGACTAAAGCGTTAGCTTCAGAGAATCAGGCCAGAAACGGGCAGTCATCCATGGCTGATCCTAGTTTCTCAGCTCATGCGATAGTCCCCAATTCTGACGTCGACCCGTATACGCTCGAGTCGCAAACGGCATTTGGAGCCGTGTCAAAGCTATTACCACCGTCGGCTACAGTCCGCCCGCGTGAACGGTCCTCTTCTGTGCGTCTTGTGTACCCGGAAGCACGCGATGGGGCGCACGATGGCGGTAGCGCTAGAGTACCAACGCTGTCAAACGAGGCCAACAACACTATCTCAGCTGGACACACATTTTATGGTGCAGGTAAGAACAACCATTCACTCACAGAGCATGACCACGCGACTGAGGCTAGTCACAATGCGAGCTTCTGTAGTACCATGTCCACTTCCTACTCGGGAACAGTAGTTGGTGTCGATGTCGACCTTCAGCACGACTTCCCTCATCCAGTGCGTCCCTCGCGTTCGCCCACACCTATCGCGCCAGTATGGTTCACTCCGCAGATGGCCGAGCTAGAACGGCAAGCTTCACTCTCTGAGTCACCTCCGGAGCCGGATCAAGTTGCTGAGGCAGAACCTACGCGTCGCTCAATCACCTCATCCGCATTGACGTCTTTACTACCAATAGCTGCAGCATCGGGCATCGTTCGCCCCAACTACGACACACCGAAGATTTCATTCTTCTCGCCGTCCGGCAATCTTATCCAGCCAGAGGGTAGTTCGACGCCAGGCACTACGAGCGCTTCGGACTTCAGCGGCTCACCCACTGCAACCACATCGTACTACGATAACAAAACCACACCTGCAACCTATCGTGCGTTCCCGACAACGACATGCCTGCCACCCCCAAGGCCCTCTTTGAGGCCAATGACCACACCACCCACATCCTCGGTTCCGCTCCCTATGCACCTACGTTTCCATCACAACTTCAAACGCCCTGAGCAGTCGCAGATCGACTCTACGGTTGGCTCCATAGACTCGTTCATCTTGCCTGCACCGTTAGTTCAAGGCTGTGACGGCATAGCGCAAACCGAAAGTCTTGCGCCTTGCTCCAGACCGCGTCATTCGTACGAGAAGCTGAATGTACGCCCGCGCTACAAACCTCGCAGATCAGCTCGATCATTCGCCGAGGACCTCAAATATGAGGCGAGGTTCCACAGAGCCCGATTGATCACGGCCATCATCGCAAGTTGCACCTCGTCTGGAAAAGGAAGGGTCCTTCGCAAGCGAAAGGCTGCGAACCGTAGAGCCGCAGCAACCGCATACGTTAGCATGCCCCGAAGCTGCGCAGGTGAGGCTACAGCCAGACCTAGAAAGAAACGAGTACACCCCCGTCAACCCACAGCTCGGCGCGAAGTAGGGGTCCTCGGACCGCTTGCCGGGCACATACTGCGGATTTGCTTCTGCCAGCCATACGACGGTGCAGGCAAGACGACAGCCAACGGCACTACCAACAAGACGTGCATTGGCAAGAGCAGCAACCGCACAGCAAACACGCAGAGCGTATCGAAGAAGGAAAGCCCTCGCTCCAACGCAAACGACGTCGACGTGGATGCAGCCTTACCCAACGCGCGGGTCGTGACCGGAACCGAACGGAAGGTCAGCAATACCGTACGCCAGCGCACCACGGTCCGCAAGGAGAAGAGGCACTCGTCCACCGGCTCGAATCACCACTCCAGAACGCGCAGTGACAGTGCCGTCAGCGTGGGTGTGGCACCCAGCACCGCTACCGCGCGTGGCTAAGCTGACGGGCTAGACCGCATCCGCTGTGACAGCTGCCACACAGGTGTGGGCGGGTACGTGGTTGTTCAGTTCGGTACCACAAGGAAAGCGGGTCTTGTCACATCTCATCAGAAACAGGCATTGCGGTCGTCGCTGGAAGCGGTATAGCTTGGTAGTATGCTCGTTCCCCTTTGGGAACCTGCGAAAGAAGGAAATGATCACATTCGTTACTGCTTTTGGATACAATGGAAAGTAGGATTACGCGATATGGTTAGACGTATGTTGTTAGTTGGCTCGATGGAGGTGTGTGTGGGGATGGTAATGGGGTGGGATCGACAATGTTACCTTTTTTTCTGAAAGGGATGGGTTGTTCCACCAATGATGCTTGCTTTGCAATGACTCAAGAGTAGTTCTTCTGGGGACTGGAAAGTGATGTTGCTTTTGCGTTTCGTTCATGTGTTCTTCTGAGATGTGAATGATGTGCATGCGGGTGCAGTATACGCTATCATGATAGTGCTAAAGGACAGGGGCGGCTACTCCACTACCCCACACGGAAGAAGCAAACAACAATACTGGTCTGACGTCTTCTTTGCTTTGATCTTCGAACGGGATGCCGCGCTGCATATCAGCAACTTGATAGTGCATACGCAGATAACTTCAAGCATCACGATCGACGTCAGAGTACAGTATCTCACGCCTGGCGAGTAGAACGCACCAATGTAAATTACTCGCGAGCTTCGACTGTACAAACTCGTATCGAGAGCAACCCGCCAAATCCCGACACTGGTGACCCAAGCATCACCGCACGTGTATTGTTGATAGTGCTGAATAAAATGAAGCAACCAGTGAGACGTTCCGACCACTATGATAAAGGCGTAGTAATTGGAAGAGAGACCCGGATATCGGCGACCTACTCCAAGTATCTGGAGCCGCCAAGACATGACAACCACAACGCAGCGGTGTACTCCGCTGCCGTCTGTCATCCGTCATCCACACATACACATACATACACGCGAGGTGCTGAGAAAGCGACATGCACACCGATAACCAACATAATTTGCTCTCTACCTCGGCGCATGTCTACACGCTAACAGGCTGTCGGGTTCGTGTAAGCTCTACAACGCTTGGCTATAGAGCAGGAAAACGCATGGAAGTACCGCCTAGAACTGCCGCTTGAGCGACCCGAGAAACCATATGCAGGTACTGCCCGGTTGAGTAACAATGCATCCGAGCCGAGGAGCTGAACCCGGTCAGCTCAACTAAGCACCGTCTCCCTTGCGTATATCAGAGAGACCAATAGTTGGCTAAACGCGACCATCGAGATTCACGCATGAAAGTCGCGTATTAAGCGTATCCGAATCCGAGAAAACGTGGTTCCCGGTAAACAGGTTCGAAAGCAACAACAAACGCCTCACTTTCTTCTCCCACGTAGGGCGGACTCGCCGAGCTCCGCGGATTCATGCAGCTGACGACAGATTGGGACATTGGGTAAGTCGCGAAACCCCATGGATGCGTCTTGTTGGTGTTTGTTGTGGTGTGGTGTACAGCCGTAGTACTTCATCCAACCCCCCTGCCCGTCACGGCACTCCCGACGCCTCACGCCTGCGTTATCGACCCAGGGCGTCGGTAGCGGGGGGCACCGCTCATTCCGGGTCAAAGGATGTAGATCCGTCCGCATTCGAAAACACGTGCATATGCCCATGACAAGCACCGAACAAGAACTTGAAAACCTGGAATTCGTGTTGCTGATCGCTGACCTCGAGGTCGCTACAAAGGATTACAGCCAGGGATAGGCGAAAGCGTGTGTGCGTGTCGATCATGTTCCTCTCTCTCGATGTCGTGCAGCAAGGGCGCGGTAGCTACATACAACGGTGGGCGAGTGGGTTTCGAAAGGACACGGTGACGAGAGCGTTTCGGAGTCCGCGGGATGAGGATGCGAGGATCGGGCTTGGTGGTGACTGGCTCAATAAGGGTTGCTAGACTTGTCGGCCCAGAGGTCTTTCCAAAATTGGCGGAACCCATACTGCTTCTCGCGGCGCTCATCTCGCACGCGAACTGGCCCTCCAATGATGTTGTCGAGCACGCTCTTCTGACCGGAGCTCTGCCAACTATCTGCTTTCTTGGGCGGTTTGCGTGCGCGTTCGAGGATGGCCCCGGCGAGCTGGGGCGCGACGTCGGCGAAGCAAGAGTTCAGCTCGCGCTGCAGGTTGTAGTAGGGACGTTTTGCTAGCTCGGGCGCGAGGAGGTTGTAGCTGCGCGCCTTGTCGTTGAGGTCCTTGATGGCGACTTTCCAGTAGCCGCTTTCGATACGTTCCCAGTCTGGGTCACGGAAGGGATACGGTGCTGGTGCGACTGTTGGTTCGGGAGCTTGAACGGGTACTTCCATGGTTTCCGTGGTTGTTTCTGCTATGGTAGCTGCTGCTGGGTCCTGCGCTACAGCTTCAGGGGAAGCATCAAATGTGACCTTTTTTGCTACGACTTGTTCCGTGACTACTGGCTCCGCATTCGATCCTTCACCTTCTGAGTCTACCTTCAGCCCGCCCGACAAAGTGATCTGTGACATGTGCCCGTCATCGTCAACAGTGGTGAGCGTCTCTTGTTGTTTCCTTCTCAGAGGATTGGCAATCAGCTCTGCCTTTGCGAATGCCTCGGCTGTCTTGATCTGGTCCAGTAGCGATCCGCCCTTGCTGGCTATCACGCGCGCAGCATGTCTCTTCCAGTCCGCCCGTAGTCTAGTTCTGAACTTGTTTGCAGCCGATGTGAGCTCTTGCTGCTTCTCGATCCACGGCGGTACAATCTCTTGCTTTTGTATAATCTTGTTCATAAAGTATTCGGTCGTGTCGATGAACGGGCTCGATGCGTTGTAGTCTCTTTCGATATTGGCCTTCTTGCCGCGCGGGATGTTCTTGAACTGGCCACGAGCGATGGCATCTTCGATTCTCTTATTCGCAAGCGATGCGATTCCTTGGATGGAGCCAGGGACGATGGTACGCGCACCTGGTTCGAAGCGGTCTTTGAGGTCCTGCAACCGCTTCTCTCGGTCGAAAGCCTCGATACTTTCGTCTTCATTGATGGAAGCGTAGACGGTGCTCCTGTCGCGTGCGTTGGCCAATCTCACGCCCCGCCCCTCCTTGCTCCGAGCATGTCCGGTATCAATGGACTGGGGTATAGGAACGCCGGGCATCTTGGCTGGTCGCCCGAGTCGCAGCGGCTTATGGGCGTCGTTCAGCATGCGTAGGCTCGCATCGTGGATGGACTCGGTGCCCGTCCAGGCTTCTGTTGTGGCAAGCTCGCGTGTGTGGCGGGAGGCGAAGGCGGGCAGTTCTGCTTCAGACGACTTGAAGTTTGCAGATGCGATTCGCTGTTCGAGCTGTGCCTTGAGGTCTGCACTGAAGCCTGCCTCTTCCACAGCTTTGACGGCGCCATGCCCTCCCGATTCCAGCGCGTCTTCACTCATTTCTCGCATGCGTCGCGTGAATGCGCCTTCCTCCTTTTCGGCCTCCGCGTCTGGTCCATGACCATTGTTTCCTGCGTCTTCCAGCTCCTGTTTCCCGTCATCCTCGTCTTTGCGCTGTGTTGCCGTCTGCCCGTATCGCCTCAGAGGCCCTGCCGGCGCGGGTCGGGATGGAACGAAGACATTGGATCTTCGATTCGTGCGCAAACAGCGTGCGCAGGTGTACTGTCTCGGAAACGCAAATGCGGGCATACAGGAGAGTCGGCGAAGGGAGATGGGGTGTTGGAGGAGTGGCGGCGTCGAATTCTTAGAAATGGCCATCTCCCACGTCATGACCTCCAGGTTTAGCGCGAGTCTTATCGATAGCAATCAGCCGAGGCTCCATCAACACACCAACACTCAAACTGCATGCACACACTGCCATGATTTCATAACTGACGTCTAATAGTATATTTCAACTGGGTTATGTGCTCAAGAGAAGCGAACCATCCATAACTAGCCACCCGCACCACCTTCAGCAACATTCACCAGCAAATCCAGCAAAGTATGTCTCTTTTCCTTCTCACTTTTGATCATACACATCGCAGTAGCCACAAATACCTGATAGATCCTACTTCTCTTCATCCGCAAGATCCTCGTACTTTCCGCCTCTTCTTCTTCCGCCCCTTCCTCACTTCGAAGTAGCATCTCGGGCGCGTTTTCATTGATGAGACGCAAGATAACAACATCGAATAACTTCAAAGTACCACTCTTTCTACTCGCAACAGACGACGTGTGTACTCCCAAACACACCTCATCTCGCCTCTCTTTCTTCTCTTCGGCCACAGGCAGCCTAGCGACTAACTTCAGATGGTTGAACCGCAACAAAGCACCACAAGTTCGAGTCTCCTTGGTAGTACCTGTTCCTTTCCAAAAGAAGTCGATACCAGCATATTGAAAGTGATAGCATCTCGTGTGGCGTGAGAGAGGGTTCTTCCACCGCAAATACACCACTTCTTCGGCCGTCGCAGGCTCTTTCGACTTGCCATCCGTCATCGTATTCACATCGGGATCTCTTCCTTCGCCCGTCTTACGGGTGTTCTTCACGGAACGAACGTGTTCCTTGCCCGTCTCACCCCACAACCTCCACGTCCGCACTTTGTACCCTTTGAGCTTGTGGTGATCGTGCTTGAGGGCGTTCTTGTCGCCGCCGGTGTGACGCCATGGTACTACGCCGCGTGGGTCGAGTATGCCGAGGGTCGATGGGAGGAGTTGGAGCCTGTACTCTTTCCAGAAACAGCCTTCGTGTATCAGGATAGCTGGTTGCGCGGTGTGTTTATTGCTGCCAGTGTAAAGGACGCGAGGCGGTACGTGGAAGGCGAGGTATGGTCGGTGAAGGAAGAAAGCATTATCGTCTGGTTCTACACTAAGTAGTCCAGCGTCTTGACGCTCTTTCTTCTCCTTGCGTGTAGCCTTCTGTTCTTTGATCGTTGGGCCAGACCGTCGTTCCAGATTGGGATCAAGGACTGGCGTAATGCTTTTATGGCACTTATGCTTCTCGTAGATGTGGAAGATCGACTTGGTCTCGGTGCTAGGTGGTAGTTCGAGGTCGTCTTCCATAGGCAGGCGAGTAACCACAACACCTTCAGCCCGGGTTGTGGACGTTGTATTGATTGTAGTGCCCTGATAATGTCAACATCTGTCCAGCGAGAGGCTGTCAGTATCAGCACACATACCTTCGTACCGTCCACTCCGCCAAGCCTGATTGTACCAGTGTCGTCTGACTCTATGACAGTCGCCATAGCTCTTCCTCGCGATGGTCATCTTCCTACATGTGGAGCCTGGCCTGTGAATCTGGCTAGCCACTCCCTATATGGGGTGGTTTTGGTGGTCACCAGATGATGCGCGAGTGTCGCGCCAAGCACTGTTGTGGAGGCTGAGCCGCTCGGATTGCTCGTGTTGATGCCGTCTGCTACATTCTCCAATCAAAACCTTGTAACATCTGTTTTAAGTAGTACGTGGTGGTTCGATTGGCCACCGTTTTGCTAAGAAGTTGTGTAAGCACATGCAAACTGCTATGAGGCAGACTTAAGGCAGAGTCTACACAAAGCTGCCCAGGCGCAACACTTCTCAATCGCATGCGTCGTGCACCAGAAGTCTTGCGCATGATAATGTAATACTTTTGTACTTTCCCGACAATGCAGTATGCCATTCCATGCTATTTACTGACTCTCAAGCACCCTCTTCGCGCCATCGCTGATGCGCTTAACCTCCTCGTGTCCCTTCTTCACCACCTCCTCCATCTTCTTCTTCGCCTTCTGAAGGTCATCCGGTAGCACATCGCGATTCAGCTCAAACTTCCTCAACTTCTTGTTGTGTTCCTGGCGTCCTTGCTGTATCAGCTTGTCTGCTCGCTCAGAAGCTTTGACGGCCGACTCGACGGCTGCGCGACGCGATTCTCCCGTTGGCGGTGGGAGCGGTACTTGGATGGTGAGTGGGTTCGAAGGTTCGGGCGTGAGAGGCGTGAGCGAGTGCGGTGAGGCGGCGATGGCGCTTGTGACGTGCTTGACGTGCTGTGTGGTGTTAGCATTTTTGGTGTTGTCGTAGTAACGGTTTTACTTACCGTGTCTTCCCCGCAGATAACATTGAACATTCTCCCTCTGGGAACAACCTGTGCGATATCCCCCAGTCTCACCGTCTCTTTGTTTCCTGCCGTGCCCAGTTGCACTTTTAAGTTCTCCACGATCTCAGGGTTCGTCTTTCCTCCACTGCGCAATTGGCTGAGGTCATGCGTAAGCTTCTCTAGGGCCTTGAGGATCTGTGCCTCCAAGCCCGAGACATCGTAGGCTTCGTCGGTAGGTGTGAGCGGACCCGGGTTGCTGACGGGTGGTGCGGAATCGGTTCGCGCATGGGCTTTGTTCGCTTTACCGGCCTTCTTGTGTAGTTGTAGGCTTACGGAGAAGCTCCGGATAGCGTGGATCGAGCATTGTGGTGTTGGGCGCAATATAAACCTAAGTGGTGTGAGCGGGGAAGTTTGCGCAAAGCAGCGATTGAAGCTTACAGACTGCGGCTTGGCGCCTCAATTGACCTCGAAGATGTGCATAACGGGCTTCTTGAGCTAAGACGTAGTGCGACACGTGGTATGGCGGTGCGAGACATGGTTGCTGGTATATGAGGATGATGGCTTGTTGGTACAGCTGTTTACGCGGGCGGAGGCACGGACAATCTTCCGCACGCGACAGGGACGTCATCGCGTTCCCGAACATAATCACTAATCAAGCACCCATCCATGGACGGACTACACGTAACTTTCGGTTCTGACTTTCGGTCCTGACTTTCATCCCCGCATTGCTGACAGGCAGATTCCTGGTTCACATCATTGCTTGTCATCAAAGGCTAATTACAAGAATAGATCACAGCATGTCTCTTGGAGGCATTTCGACAGGCCTGTCACCCGTCAAAGGGTCCCGATACCAGTTCTCCTCTGGGTCATCCAAGCATTCCCCTACTCTCACCAGCTTGTATCCATGCGCCCGTGCGTTGTCAATCATGAACTGTGTGTATCTATGCACGGTACCTTCGTGGGTGTCGTGCGCCAGGCCCAACCAGGCCCGAACCCCGTTACGGTTCTTGCCCTTGATCTTCTCCATGAAATTCTCTTCCGTATAGGTGTAATTACCTGCCCAGTCTCGTCCATCAAGGTCGGCTGCAGTCTTTCGGCACAGTCAGTTTGGTCCTTCACTCTGCTCTCTGCAAACTCACCACATGGTAGCCGAGCTCTCCCATTTCGGCCTGGCATTCAGGGCCGCAGATGTTGAAGGGCGGGCGCATGTAGGTCGGGAAAAAGCCTAGGATGTCGTTGAGGACAATCTCTGCTTTTATCTGTTCGTCTCTGCGTTGGTGCGGAGTCATCTTGTCCAAGTCCTTGTGGCCCCAGGTATGCCCCGCAATCTGGTGTCCTTCCTTGTATATTCTTCTAATAAGCGCAGACCTCTCGTCGAACTTGTGAGCTATCAGCTCCCAGTACAGGTTAATTGTTCTGATATAGAACGTCGCTTTGACGCCGTTGGCCTTCAGGATGTCCAGCAAATCTGCTGTCCACTCCCGGGGACCATCATCGTATGTGAGGGCCAGCGTATTTTCCACTTTGCAATTGAATATCTTCGTCCCGTATGGAACATCTCCCAGCTTGGGCCGAGGCGTATCTGATGTATTGAATCCTGGAGGCCATTGGGTGCCATCGCATGCTAACCCATAGTCCCAAAGACACGCATGTTGACCAGCAAAGTTTGGATGTGTCATACGAATGCCCTGTGTAAAATGATGAGTAAGACGGCAGTTGATGTATCAAAATCTCAACTACTCACGTCTTTCGAGCAGCAACGGCTACACTCAGGTTGCTGAACTCCTGGTCCACATCTTCCGTAGTTGATAGTCTCAACGTTGACGAGTGGATTTATCACCGGGCATACATTTCCCAACGGAGTGTAGTAGAATGGATGGTAAGCCCCCAATGCACTATTCATGATGAATTGGATATCTGGATGACTGATGCGGCGCTGTCCAGCTTTTCTACATCCGTTCCCATCATAGCAAGGCCGTAAGCCGGTTGCACAAGCTTCCCTCACGTCTGTTCGCCGCGTGTTTGAGTTTCCATCGGTGGTAGTGCAACAGCTCACCGCTCACATCCGAACCTCAGGGGTCAATGCCCCAAAGCGCCGGTATCGACTAAATAAACGCCCGTTAGGCCCGATCTCCAAATGTGCAGACAAAATTAGCCGGTCTTAGACTTGGGTACCGAATGCAAAGACCGGACGATCACTTCCTCGGGCCGATTACGAAAGATGGCGTGTATTACCATTAAGTAGGCGAAAACCGTAATGTACAGAAGATGGCCAGCCAAGCAACCAATAGAGCCACTTTGCGAATGCGACTGAACATGTGTCGGCCTCTGACGCCCGCGTCAGCTATCATCGGTTCCAGACTTCAATCCGCACATCTGCCAAGGTTTCCAGAACTGTGTAATCTAAGCCAGGTTGTTTCGCCGCTACGACGATGGCGTCAAACGACCTCAAGACGTCAGGCTGCCAAGAACCTTCTTCCAATCTTGATACTTCGGGTATCGCCTCCTGGTTCACCAGAGGATCGCAAAACATGAGATCTACCTCTCCCGACTGTCGCACGTAGTTGAGCAACTGCAGGCCAGGCGAATGTGACAGGTCCGACTGGCCAGGCTTGAAACCGACACCGACGACAAGAAGCCTGGGGCGGTGTGTCGAACCATGATTTTTGTGGCACTCGTCTAGCATAGTTGCCAGAAGCTGGCTGGCGATTCGCGACGGCCGCGACATCATCTTCTCGTGTGCTTGTTGGAGAAGCGGCAGATTGCACGTCGACATGAAGTAGATCGGGTTGACCGGGATGCAATGACCCCCGATTCCCAATGAAGGGTACATGGGCAGGTACCCAAAAGGTTTGCTGGCGGCTGTGCGCGCCACTTCGAACGGGTCGATCCCAAGTCCCTGGCAAGCGTCTGACATCTCGTTGGCGTACGCAATGGCTATCGTCCTTTGGCAGTTCTCGTACAACTTTGACATTTCCGCGACTTCGGGTTTGCTGACAGGGATCACAGTATCGAAGACCGTCTCATACAATCGTACAATGGCGTCCAGCGAGCCTGGGGCAATGTCGTCGAGCCCCGAGACAACCTTTGGTATTGATTTAGGCGGCGGCTCGATTCGGCCTGGGTCGATTCTCTGGTAGGTGTCAGCCAGTCCTCGTTCTTTCGGAGCAAAAAGTCATCCTACCTCTGGTGACATCCCGGCAAGAATGCCGCGCGATCCGGCCAGCGGCCCAAGCAGTGCTCTTGTCATGCCGACCGCAACGGTACTCTCTATGACCACTATCGACTTGTCGGTTGCGTAGCGTTGCAGCATGTCTATTGCGCTGCGAACATGTGAGGAGTCGACTTGGCCGTTCAATCCCAGGGTGGTCGGTACGCAAACGAGAAAGTGTGCCGCGTCTCTCAAATCAGTCTCATCGCTTGAGAATTTGACATTGTCTCTCTGGGAGTGCTTCAAGCGCAGTCTTTCTATTCGAGGAGCCGAGACGTCGTACCCAATAACCTGGTAAGCGGAAGAGAAGACTTCCATGAGATGTTCGCCGACATATCCCACTCCGATGATCGCAACAACGGAATCCTGATCGTACTTCTCCATGGGAATTCCGTAATCCAGTGATAATCCGTGGTCGTACAAATTGTGATGTACGAAATGACAAGCTCAGTAATCGAGAAGTCTCAGAGACGACATGGTTTAGGGACGAGGTATATATTTGAACTCGCTAAATTACTCCTATCTTGATACTCTACTGAACGCACAATCCCACTGAGACAGGACCGTATTGCGATGGCAAAATTTCATCCGGTATTGATACACTAGCAGCGAGTCTCGCTACGCGCCAAGTCTTAGCTTCGGTACTACCAAGTATTCCGAAGCGGTCCGTATGTTTGGACTCACCGGTGTACCTCCGAACTAATGCGTGTTCAGCATGAAAAATCGCCACAAAAATGTGTTTTAGGAAAGCCACGCACGCAGGCACAAGATGTCACGCCGCCTGGAGGTACCTCGGCGATCAGCCCTGTCACCGTCCCTGGCGTCCCTGCGTTACACCGCCTGAAACTGTATCGCCTAGCCGGCGTTCTAGAGATTAACCAGACTTCCAATGTGGATATGCTTAGTTTGACGCTCGTACCCTGACACTTGACCCTCAATTCGAGAAAAGGTACATGGCGTTTTTACAACATACTAGAATAGCATCTTTCGCTCCTGCAGCACTCGCCGTTCACCACATCACGACGCAGGAATCCCTATCTTTCCCCCATGAAGATGGATGTCCTCAATACCGCGAGCTCGGGCGCTCAGATTGCTGGCAATCTCAAGAAACGATCGCGCTTTTTCTCCTCCAAGGTTTTGAGCAGCGCTATCGAACATCTACCCGATGTCAATACGGATCGTCTCAGGATTGAGAAATATGTAATATGGGCCATCTTAATACCATTCAAGTAAGTGAATCAATGCCATCACTCCTCAGTGCGCAAGACACGAGTTGCTAATAAAGCCACTCAGCCTTTTCATAATGTACATGTTCGCAAACTGGGCAAAGTATTCCTGGGTCCTCTTCCCAAACCTAATTCTTCGAGCCGTTGTGGATATGATCGAAATCACCATGGTCATCCATGCCCTCATCCGAAAGCGATTGAACCCGCCTAAGATCACGATCCCCGCAACACCGGAGAGCTTGGTCTACCTGCTTTGCTGCTACAACGAGTCGTATGAAGAGATGATGAATTCGCTGGTTTCGCTGGCTGAGCAGCAGTCGCTGGATGATCACAAGAAGGCTATTGTCGTAGTTTGTGATGGTCGCGTGAGCTGCAAGGGCATGACCAAGACGACTTCCGCCCATCTGAAAGAAGATATTGTTGAGCGTCCGACTAGCACGTTCATGAAGGAGGCGTACACTGCCTGGGACGACGGCCCAATGGACATTGAAATCATCAAGGGTGAATTCCGAGGGCTTCCAATCATCTGCGTTATCAAGAACGAGAACCGCGGGAAACGAGATGGCATCATTCTCATCCGGACATTCCTGAACAAGTTCAATCAGCGCAAGGCAAACCCCGATTTGAAGATGATCTCGCCCAAGCTCTTTGCCGAGCTCTCAGGCTTCCTCGAGACCCAATCCATCCAAAAGGTGGACTACGCTCTTGGAATTGACGCAGACACTCGATTCGACACTAAATGCGTCCACAACCTGATGCAGACCGCAAGAGAAGGCGAAGAGATCGTGGGAGTAACCGGCTACATCCGACCAGACCCGATTGCGTTGGGAGGTTGGACAATTTCGTATCTCTATCAGAACGCCGAGTACATGGTTGGCCAGCACCGGCGTCGCCTGCGCCAGAGTCTCACAAGTGGAAAGGTGACTTGCCTGCCTGGCTGCTGTCAACTACTGCGAGTCTGCGAGGAGACAATGGGCGACTTCATCCTGGGGAAATTTGGATACTATCCCAAGGCTTCCGATGGTCTGTTTCGAACCGTCCGTTCCATGATGAGCGAGGACAGAGATCACGTCTGTCTCGTCATTGCACACTACGCCCACGTGCGGACGCGTGTGAACCTCAGTGCGCGAGCGTACACTACAGCACCGACTACGCCTTCGGTCTTTGTCAGTCAACGCCGTAGATGGACGCTGGGGCCGCTCACAAGCGACAGTCTCCTCCTCAGCCGCAGATCGACGGGCTGGATGGAGAGGGCGTCTGCTTTGGCTTCCTTGACGCATTGGGTGCAGAACCCAGCGCTTCTCATCTCGAGATTCTTCCGTACGTACCACTCAGCCTGTGATTCTTGAATCTTGCTAACATCAGGTTAACAGGTGACCTGGACGATCGGACCATATTTTATATCGTAGCTTTCGAGTACTACCGACGCGTCTTCGACTTGATGGTCACCCTCATATCGTGCGATTCGTTCATCGATGTTGTCCAGACGGTCATTGGCTGCGTTGCCTATACCTGGTCCGCGGCCTACGTCAACGTCTGCACGCAGTTCTACACGCTGTGGAGGATGGACGATTTCCGGTGGGGCAAGACGCGCATAGCGGTTGCGGGTAAAGAAGAAAAGACGCACACTGGGTAAAACCGGGCTTCCTGGACTTGACGATCGCGAACACAAAGAAGATACCAGGCTTCCTGGAAGAAGCGGATGGGGAGATTGGAGAGGTTGGGCGGTTTCTTTGTTCCTCTGCCTAAGGGTTCTCGGCCCCTGGCTTAGTTTGCGCCCTGGCGCTTGCAGCCAATCGGGTCATAGATCGTACGTCACCCTCCGTAATGTTATCATAGATATAGAAACGACTTTTAGACAAACTTTCGACATCCGCATGCGTGTTTCATGGCTTTTTCTGCTTTGCTGTACTTTTGATGCAGCCTCGTTGGCGTGACAGGTTGGTGGAATCGTCGGATGAGATCATGCCGGGCATATGAGATCTTGGAACAACCTCTTTGTTCCTTTTGCGACAGTATGACATCTTTCCTCATTGCCATGGCTTACATTGTTGCCAGGCACGGTATTGATCGCCCCTTCATTGCCGTCCTCCGTCGTACAGTTAGTGTGCTTACACCGATTGCTCCTTGCAGTTCGCCCAACACAGATACTACGCGCGAGGTTCGCTGACTGCTCGCCCTCAGGTAGTGGAAGTCAAGTTGACCGCTATTGCA